TGTACTTTGGTGTTTAGATAAGAATTGAAAACGTTTAAATTTTCTTGTATATCCTCCCAAGACAAATTTGAGTTCCCATTAATAAATTTTTTTGTGGTATCAAGACTTATTTCTGAGGAGTATTTAATTTTCACGGTATAATCTTTATGGTCATACTGTAATTGAATATAATTAAATATTATTAATATTATTGAAATTATCGAAATCGAGATTTTTTGATATTGATATAGTATATATATATATATATATATATATATATAGCTGATAAAGTTTTGTAAAATAAAACAGCTATTACTTCGTAATCGTCAGTTTCGACGTCATCTTTAGAGTACAATGATCTTCCGTAATGCGCAGCAATGATTTCGGTAGATTTTGACTTTAAAAATGCTGTCATCACTTCATCACGTTCCTCTTTTTTCAAAGGTCTTCCTTTTGCATTGTCGATATCGAAAGAGAAAGATTTGACAGAAGGGAAATTGAACTATGTAATTTTTTTAGGAAAATAAATAAATCAATAATTCGAATTTTGTGTTATGTGTGTGTATTATTATAAGATTAATTTACAAAAATTCATACTTTAGTAACTGCCAAATAATTGACTTTGATTCGAACAATTCTACCATTTTTTGCGGGTTCTTTTGGTCTTTTTGCTATTTTCAATTGGTCAGACATATTGCAATTTTTTATTATAATGTATTTTGAATTTCAAATTCTCAACAACTAATTATTGCTTTTCGAACACACAAAACTTTTTGTTGGAAACGAAGTTAAATTTATACTTGATCTGAGTATAAAGAAATATAATGAATGCGTTGTATCTAAATTTGGAGATTCATTCTTGATTTGAAAACAAAGCTATGAAACAAAACCACACGCGTTACAGACGTTACTCGTATAATAATTTCCACGTGACTCTCGATCAATGTAATAATTTAATTATTCCATATTTGGTAAATGTTTATTTCATAATCATTTAATGCTTTACAAATTCGGGGGTAGGCTAAAGCGGAGTAGAATCATGTGAGGTGATTCGGGTTAAAGCGGAAGTGTGACCGTATCACATGTA